CAGAATCTCCCCCTCCCCTGCTTCCCACTCTGGGGGCTCAGCCCAGCACAGGATGGGGTTCTGAGTGTTCATGGCTGGGACAAGTCCAGCCTCTCACCCACCAKCACCCCAAGTTTTTCTCCCATGGCTCCTCTCCATCCCCTCATCCCCCAGCCTGGATTGATCCTGGGGSTTGCCCTGACTCAKGTGCRCCACCAGCATCTRGTGCTGTTGAACCTTATGAGGTTCCCATGGTGCCTCTTCTYCAGCCTGTTCAGGTCCCTCTGGAGGGTCTCCCATCCCTCAGGTGTGTCAATCACACCACCCAGCTCGGTGTCATTTCCAGACATGCTGAGGGTGCCCAAATCCCTCAGTCCATGTCACTGATGAAGATATTGATCAGAACTCTCTTAAAGCTTGATTTATCTGAGCTGCTGCCTCGCTGCTCCAGCCAGGATGGGTTTAATTCATGGGGTTTGGTGGCAGTGTGCCTGGATTGACTCTCGTGGTTTTATCTCTTTCATTTCTACAGAAGAAAGACCCGGCTGATCCCTTCAATGATGAGGAAAAGGAAAGGCATAAAGTGGAGGCTCTTGCTAGGAAGTTTGAAGAAAAATACGTAGGTGTTTCTTCTTTAAATTGTGTTRCTCCTTGGGCTGGGCAGTGCTGTTCACCTCTCAGGCAGTGCTTTTAGTGTTCACTGGCTCTTAGGTTCCTGTTCTCCCCTGTCCTTTATCCTGGCTGCCACGTGCTGTTTTTTATGTTCTTTTTCTGTCTCAGAGCTGCAAAAATAGTTCAGATTCATTCTTAAATCAGATGAGTCTGATTAGAGTGAATGACATGAACTAAAGTGAGCGGCAAATCACTTACTGTGATTGATACAAGTGMATTTCCTTAAACAAAGTGAAATTCCTTGTTGCTGTGGCAGGATGGAATCTTCCAAGGCTCTGAGTATGGGGCTGTGATAGGTGTCCTCAGGACACTGCTGCATGGATCTGCATCCTTACCTGTTCCTTTCTGGTCTTCCTGTCACTTTATTTCTGTAGTTGGCAATAAACCCACACTGTTTTACCTCTGGCACTGTGGGGCAGCAGTTGTGTGTTGTTCTGTGATACAGATTTGGCCTGTGGGTCACCCTGAYACACTCTGTGTGTGTTTGATCCCTGTGGTACTGAGTCTGTGCCCACTGCAGCACCTAGGGAAGAGCAGTCCCTGTGGAAGAGAGCCCTGGCAGGTTTGTTGAGGGGGTGCAGACCCAGCTCATTGTGGAGCCTGCTGGCACTGACAGACACTGAATGGTTTCATTTGGCTGCACTGTTCTGGTTCCGTGTGACAAGGATTAAAATTGGGTTTACCATCCTCTGAGAGTACAGCGTGATGGGAGGCAGCCCTGGTGTGTTCTGCTGCAGCTTTTTGCTGGAGCCAGTTGTTGTTTTGGATCAGGGCTATCCCTGTGATACTGGGAAAGAGAAGTGATTGCAGTGTCCATGTTTCCATGTTCAGGGTGGGAAGAAGCGCAGGAAGGACCGGATTCAGGATTTGATTGATATGGGGTATGGCTACGACGAGTCCGACTCCTTCATCGATAACTCGGAAGCTGTGAGTGCTGGGATGGGTGTGAGGGGGGCTGAAGGTGTCTGCCTGGGGGGCTCCACCTGAACTGGGAGTGAGCCAGGAGGATGCCAGGGCCAGGGAATGAGAGATCCTGGGGCAGCTGCATGGTAGGAGATGTTGGTTGGCATTCCACAGTCTGTTCTTGAGGGACCRCAATCTCACTCTYGTGAGCAGTGACWGGAYTTGAGGAAATGGCTGGAGCTGAGTTSGAGAGGTTTAGGTTGGATATCAGGGASAGGTTTCTCACCCAGAGGATGCTCAGGCACTGGARCAGGTTTCCCAGGGAAGCAGTCACAACACCAGGTCTCTGTGAGCTCAAGGAGCATTTGGACWAYACTCTCAGGGCTGCACAGGGAGGKATTGTTGGGGTGTCTSTGCAGGGCCAGRARYTGGATTTGATRATCCTCATGGATCCCTTCCAGCTCAGCTATCCTGTGATTCTGTGAATCCCACTGCATTTTCCAAGCAGCTGAGCTATGGAATGAAGTAACCAAGCTCCCAGTGCCAATAAACTGTCCTCTGTTATTTCCAGTACGATGAGCTGGTTCCTGCATCTCTCACTACCAAGTACGGGGGGTTTTACATCAACTCAGGAACGCTGCAGTTCCGGCAGGCCTCTGAGTCTGAGGATGACTATGTCAAAGAGAAGAAGAAGAAGTGTCCCAAGGTCAGCAAGGCAACTTTCTCGGTTATTGCCTCTGTTACAGCTCAGAGCTTGCTGCATKGAAGTTGTTGACATTCAGAGTGGGAGGGATTTGTGACTTGGTGTGGACAGAATAGAGATGAGCGCTTGAAATCCCATTGTGTCCTAAAGTTTCTTATTCAAATGAAGCATGTGTTACATGGATGAGACTCTGGTGGGGTTACCTGGTTCCTAAAGCACAGGTGACAGCAGCTACCTGTCACCCTGAAAGTCACAGCATTCTGGGGGTGCAGAGAGTAGTACAGAAGCTGGGTATGCTGTCAGATGCCAAAGGCAACATGTGCCAGAACTGTGGTAAAGGATGTAGGGGGGTTGGGTTAATGAGTCCTGTGTGTTCACGTGCTTGGGAGAGATCCCAGAGTGGCTCTTGGAGTGCTGGTGATGTTGTGAGAAACTCTTTGATTGTGACTCGTTTTTAACCTGTGCAGAAACGGAAGTTGAAAGATGGAGGTGAAAAAATAAAGAAAAAGAAGAAAGATGATTCTTACGACAAGGAAAAGAAATCGAAGAAGTCCAAGTTTCCAAAAGCTGGGTAAGGAGGGGARGGGGGAATTCTTGCTGCTCAACACCTTATTTCAGGGTTCCAGGTGGCTGCAGTAGGACCTGCTGCAGTGTGGGGTGGCTCAGCAGGTTTTCCAGCAGGAAAACCCCTGTTGCTTCCAAAGTGAGAAGGAAAGGCAGGTGATGATCAGGTAGGGAGCACAGCTCCCCAGCAGCAGTGTTGGAGCACAGGGGGCACAGCTGGCTGCAGTGCTGCTGGTTTGGAGCTCTGTTCAGACAGATGGAAACAGATATGGACAGTGGAGAGAGAGATAACAACTGTTGGGACAAAGCTGTGGGAGGGGAGGCAGGTGGGAAAGGCTTGGACTGGGGTCTGTACGAGTGTGGGGCTGGCAGGGAGGGAGGGGTTACAAGGCAGGCTGTGTTACTGCTCTCACTGGGCAAGCCTTTGTACTCCTGCCCAAAGTATTTCTTGGATGAATGCTCAGCTTTTTTTTATGGTTTTTGGGCTGTAAAATAGAGTGGTTTTTCTTTTTGTTCTGAGTCATCTTGTCCTGTAGCTCTGTCCTTGCTTTGGTCTGCCTGGCCTGTCTGTTTCAATATCTATCTGTTGCTTTTCACTCATTTCCTATATTGTCCTCCTAAATTCTTTCCTTCTTCCTTTAACTGTTCTTTGTGATTTCTTTATTCCTGCGTGGATCTGCTTTAGGGTAGCACCAAATCATGTGTTTGACATGGTACTGTCAGTGTGTGATTCCTTCCAAGTGAGTAAGGAGAGGAATTTGCTCTCCTGGTTTTTACAGGCAGAAAGTGTCACACTAACTCTGTCCTACCTCAGTTCCTCTGTATYAATTGTGCATTTCCCAACCTTCCTTGCTGGAATAATAATAATATCATGTAGCTGAATGAAAGCAGAATTCTGTGGAGGTGATTTAAGCCCCGGCACCTCTGCAGTGAGAGGCAGGACAGCCTTCTCTGAGCTGAACAGGCAGAACCTTAAGACTTTCAGAAGCTGTAAAATACTTTTTCTGGTGTAATTGGTTAAGGGGCTAAGACTTCCCAGGAAATTGTGCCTGTGGCTGAAGTCAGTTGAGGTGAAGGGACCCTCTCTGCTCCTTCATCTTGTATTCAGCACCCTTTCCTCCTCCACACTTTGTTTGCAGCTTCACAGCATTAAATGCAAATAAGGAGAAGAAGAAGAAGAAATACTCTGGAGCTCTCAGTGTCAAGGAGATGCTGAAGAAGTTTCAGAAAGAGAAGGATGCTCAGAAGAAAAAAGATGAAGAGCAGAAAGTGGTGCCTCCTTCCCCATCAGACCCCACGGCCCCGAGGGAAGCAGAGGCCATGGCTGACCCTTTGCTCTCACTCTTTGGCCACGCCAGTGACAGTGACCTGCTCCAGGCAGCCACTGCCATGGACTCCTTGAGCGACCTGGACCTGGAGAGGCTCCTCAGTGAGTCCCCAGAGGGCAGTCCCTTCCCTGAGGTGGAGGATGGCAGCGATCCTGSTGGCACAGGCTTGGAGCAGGAGTTCAAGCAGCCCCCGTCCCTCCCAGAAGGGCTGCCAGCCCCCCTGGARAAACGGATCAAAGAACTGGCTCAGGTACAGCAGCTCCTGGGGACAGTGGGGCTGGTGGTTACTGCAGGGGCACAGCTCTGCTCGGTGTGTGTGGCAGCACCCAGGGAGAGAGCACAGTCCAGTGGGGGAATTTCTCAGTGCCACTGGGATCATACCTTTGTGTCACCCCACTTCCTTGAAGGCCCAGATGTTGAGCAATGTCCAAGTCCTGGGCCTTGTCACCTACTGGATGTCACACTCAGGGTCACACCTGATCAGGTGTGAYCTGGCCAGGATTCSTTCTTTACCTCTCTTGGCAAAGTRTGCACCTGGTGCAAGAAGTAACTTCCCAAGTCAGTTTGACATGGATGAACTGAAATGTGAATTACTGAAGCCAAAGGGCTGGGATGGAGTTAATTTTCTGCACAGTGGCTGGTCTGGGGCTGTTTGGGAATTGTGCTGCAAACAGAGCTGATAACCCAGGGGTGTTTTTGTTATTGCTGAGCAGGGAATATTCACTCAGTGCCAAGGGCTTTGCTGCTCCTCACCCCACACTGCCAGCAAGGGGCTGGGGAGGCATGAGGAGCTGGGAGGAGAACAGCCAGGATAGTTGATCCCAACAGGAATATCCAGACAAGGAGGGGGTGATGCTCAGTGTATAAATCCAAGGAAAAGGAAGGAAGAGAGGGATGTTTGGAATGACATTTGTTTTCCCAAGGAGCTGTTAGATGTTATGGAGCCTTCCTGTCCTGGGGTGGCTGAACACCTTCCTGCCCAGGGGAAACGGGGAATGAATKCCTGGTTTTGCTTTGCTTGTATGGCTTTTGCTTTCCATATTGCACTGTCTTTATCTGAGCCCATGAGTTCTCTCACGTTAACCCTTGTGATTTCCTGCCCCATCCCACCTGGATGTGCAGCTGTGTGGGGCTGAATTGCAGGCTGGGGTTAAACCATGACCAGGGACARATTCCACCRTAACATTTTTACAGTGCTGTGCTGSTCAGGACAGTGAAGGGGTGTTCTGTGTGTGAGATAAGAGGGTGCAGCTGGAAAACACTGCCTGTCCTGCAGCGTGAGAAGGCCWGGACAGCCCTGTAGGTGGGGCTTGAGGATTTGCTAGAACACTGAATGGCAAACACAGGCAGATCCTTCACTGCAGCTTGGGTATCACACTGGAGCTGCACCAATTTGGCAGTTTGAGTCCTTTATCCATTTTTAACATCTCAGTGTGGGGTACCATTTAGGGAGTGGAATATATTAATTTCTGGAAGGGTGGTTCTCTGTGTTTTCACCAGTAGCTCCTCCTGCAGCTGGACTCCTGTGGAACTCACCCATCTTCTCCAAAATGTGGTGTGCTTTGGGAAGCTACAGTCTGTTTTGGAGACAGAAAACATTGGGTGCTTGTCAGGGATCCCCTCCTGGCACRTCAGAGTGTGCTTTCAGCCTGGTGCTGTGATGGCTGTCACCATCAGCCTGTCAACAAGGGCTGGGAGGTTTTGTTCCTGCTGCTGGTGTGGTTTTAAACTTTGATTTTAAGTCATGAATGTGCCCTTGGAGCTCTGTGGTGGTTCTGCCTCCTGGGGCACTTCAGTTTAGAGCACCTCTTCTTTCAGTAAGAGGTGCTGAGTTACTCCTGTTACTAAAGATAAGCTGCTCTTAGAGAGCTGTTGTGCTGAGTTGTGCAGTGGAGTGAGCAGATGGGAGGGAAGGAGGAGCTGAAGAACGTGTTGCCACAGCTGATAAAAATAATGGACTCTTAGTGGAAGCTGTGTTTCAGAAAGCACCAAAACAGCTGTTTCCGACTCTTTGGGTTAAAGGTGAATGTTTTGGAGGTTCCACAGTACCAGGTTAATTGCTTGGTGTAATAGCAGAGTCCCCACTGGTTTTCCTGCTTAGATTTTCCTGCTGCTRTGTCTCTTGTTGCTGGATTGTGGATGTTAAGAAAAGAAGCCCAGGAGGAGTAGTGCCAGCTTGAGCAAACGGAGGTCTCTGGGTCAGTTAGGATTTTGGGACATGGACTCAGGTGGGTTGAAGAGGTGCTGTACCTCTGYCTGGGAGCCAAGTCTCTTCCATCCCAGAGGTGGGAGCATCTCTTGAGTTAAATGGAGCCTTCAGGCATTCCCTCTTCTACTTGAACTGCTTTGACCTTAACCCTCTCCTTTCTAAAATAATTTTCCTGTTGAGGTTCTCCTTAGAATTGAGCCTTCTCCTTTGATATCCCCAGCTGTCTGTGACCTGCTGCTGGCAGGGAGGAATGTACACCTTCTGGGCATAAATTAATTGCTTGCCTGCCTCARCTTTGGAGTGGTAAATCATGGAATTTCAAAATCCTCTCCTGGTCTCCATTCCCATGCAAGGAATCACTAACTGCTCTGGTGCCTTGTGCCAAATCCCAGTTTTGTTTACATCCCCACTCAGAAAAGACTGAAAGCTCTTGGCAATTTGCTACTATCTCATTCATCTCCTGTAATTATTTTCTTGCTGGACATATTTTTCATGGGTGTGATGTTTTTGGACAGCACTGTGTGAGCTGCAGTCATAGCTCAGGAAGYTTTCTGCACAGGATTTCTTTTTTGTGTTTCCATGGTGTTGACGGGCACATCCCCTGTGGCTATGACTCTTTTCTTTTGGTTTCTTGGTGTAGTTTCCAGATTGATCTGTAACATCTGGTGATGAGTCTCCTCAACCTTTCTTAGGTATGATTAGTATGAGCTTTCCTRGGACATGTTCTTGTGCTCATATTCCTGGACACAATCTACTGGGAAGTTAAAACCATGCCCTGAAGCTGTTGTTCTCCCCATGGCAAGTTTGCCAAAACAGCCAATGGCCACCAAGCCATCTCCTTTCTCCCATTAAACAGAGGAATATTCACTCCAGCATGGTAACTCCAGTGCAGCTGGAGAGGAGAATCCAAACTGGGAAGGTCACAAGGTGTGCAGGACATGATGTCCTGGTTGAACTGAGGAGGTGCAAGAGGACAGGGCACAATCTCACTTCTGCTATGACAGAGTTTGAGTAATAAAACTGTGCTTGGTTTTGCAGTAATTCTGTGGTGGTTTAGAAGGTGCTTGGTTGCTTKTTCCAGCTGTGAACTGCTGATGATTTGTGTTATTCCCTGACTTCCAGGCTGCCAGAGCTGCCGAGGGAGAAGGCAAGCAGAAATTCTTCACTCAGGACATCAACAACATCATACTGGAGTAAGTGCTGCCAGCAGAGAGGTGTGGGAAAGGAGAGCATTAGGCAGAGCATTTCTGAAGAATTCAGGAGCAGGTTCATCAGGAATTGTGGGGGTGTCCTTGTACAGGTCTTCCAGGTAGAACTTGTCCAGGATAATAAGGAAGTCTCCTAGAAATGGCTCTCAAAAATATGATGAGGTAGAATGCTGGAGGGGATATATCCAGGCCTCCTGTTCTCAAGGTGCTGCCTGATATTTATGTGACTAAATTTGGTCTCTTAGCCTATGAGTGTAGCTTTGTGCAAGACCAGTGAATCTCTCCCTGTGAGAGATGTCAGGCATGCTCTTTGCCATTTAACTTACATGCTCTATGGAATAAGTTATAACTGGGATAAGGCTGCTGTGTTCAGCTGGTTCTCTGGGAAAATTGGAGGAATTCCATTCCTGCTCTGTGTTTTTGAAGCCCCAAATAACAGAGCACCAGTGTTGCTCAGACAGCTGCAGATAATGGCTTCATTCTTCTGCAAGTGCCTGGAGAGGGCTGATGGAGCACAGAGCTTTGTGATCAGTGCAATAATACTGACACCCAGGCTATAATTTCATTAAGGGTTAGCCAGGCACTGGCAGGGAAGTGCCGAGGGGAGGTTTGGGACTCTGTTYCCCTCTCATTTCTAGGGCTGATTACCACCTTCAGGCATTCCAGTGCTGGCTGAACAAAYAGTCCTTGTCTGTGTCAAACTGATGACTTCAGCTCCATTCTCAGGAGATTTAGACAGATTTGTACAACTTTGCTGTACAATTTGGGTTGGAGTGACCCCGGAACTGAATGTAGACGGGGGGAGAACTCCCTGAGAGCAGACCTGGGAGAAAGATTTGGGGTGCTGGTGGGTGAGAGGCTGGACATGCACCCAGAACACCCCTGTGCTGGGCTGCTGGGGAGGGGGGATTCTGTCCCTCTGCCCCTCAGGTGAGACCCCACCTGCAGAGCTGCCCCAGCCCTGGGGAACAACAGCAGCAGGACCTGGAACTGCTGGAGAGAGCCCAGAGGGGGCCACAGAGATGCTCCAAGGGCTGGAGCCCCTCTGCTCTGGAGCCAGGCTGGGAGAGCTGGGGGTGCTCACCTAGAGAGGAGAAGGCTCCAGGGAGAGCTCAGAGCCCCTTCCAGGGCCTAAAGGGGATCCAGGAGAGTTGGAGAGGGACTGGGGCCAAGGGATGGAGGGAGCAGACACAGGGAATGGCTTCACACGGTCAGAGGGCAGGGATGGATGGGATATTGGGAAGGAATTGTTCCCTGGGAGGGTGGGCAGGCCCTGGCACAGGGTGCCCAGAGAAGCTGTGGCTGCCCCTGGATCCCTGGCAGTGCCCAAGGCCAGGCTGGACATCGGGGCTTGGAACAACCTGGGACAGTGGAAGGTGTCCCTGCCCATGGCAGGGGTGGGATGGGATGGGAGTAAGGTACTTCCAGTCCTAACCATTCTGTGACTGAGGAGGGTGATGATGAATCACTTAGAGTTTTTKACACATCTTGACACCAAAAAGCCAGGCTCCTCAGTTGTGTATAACTGTGTAGTTGGGTTTGGCTCATGGTGACCTCTCTCATCTACTCACTGGGAAGGAAGTTGAAACCCAGGGGATGAGGTTTGATTTTCTATTGTCCTGAATTCCACTGCCRTAGCATCTGACATATCCAGTGTGCACCTCTCATCTGACTGCCCAACCCTCCTGCAYGCAGCTGCAGGGAGAGCTGCAGAGCACACAGGACTGCTGACTTCCACGTGTTCCTTCTCCAGCTACTCCCAGAGCAGATTCAAAGCACAGCATGGGACAAAGGCTGTTAATTCTAGAATCCAAAGARCCTTCAGGCAGTTTGCCTTGTCCTTTGTCCCTCTGTCCCTAGCTGCAGCTCCCCCAGGGTTGCAGAGCTGGCTAACGCTGTGTTTGTGTCCCCAGCATCGAGCTGCAGACGCGGGAGCTGAGCAGCCAGGTGCGCTCGGGGGTCTACGCTCACCTGGCTGCCTTCTTCCCCTGCAGCAAGGACACGCTGCTGAAGCGAGCCCGCAGGCTGTACCTCTACGAGCAGGTGAGGGAACGTGCCAGCACAGCCCCGTGCTACCCCTGATGCCCCCAGCGTGCCTGTGTCCCCAAACAGGCGGTGTTCTCCAGGGGTACCCTTCCATCACCGCAGCTGGGGTGGGTTTGGAGCGGGCTGGGTTTTGGTGTTCCAGCCCTGTGGAGCTCCAGGGTGCTCTGTGCTTGCTCCAGGGTGGCCGGCTGAAGGAGCCTCTGCAGAAGCTGAAGGAAGCCATTGGAAGGGCCATGCCAGAGCAGGTGGCCAAGTACCAGGAGGAATGCCAAGCCCATACTCAGGCCAAGTTTGCCAAGTAAGCTCCTCGTTTGCTTGTTCACCTGTAGCTTTTCCCAGCAGGCTCYCTGTGGCCTGGAGGCTGCTCTCCTGAAGTGCACCATCTCTTTTTGTTCCGTAGGCTAAATTTGCTGATGAGCATTCATTGGCCCAGTGAGGCTGTGTGTGTTCYTTGTGCTGTCTGTGGCAATGCCAGCTGCAGCAGCACTGATGGGACCAGAGCTTGGCTGAAGGGTTTCACGTGTGCAGGCATGTCTTTAGGAATGTGGCAGCCTGGGAAAGTCAGCCTGGATCAGTCCCATGATCTCTCTTACAAAATAGTGGGAGATTTCTTAACCTTGAGCCCATAGCTCAGCTTGCACCCTGAACCAGAGATCATCACTGATACTGAGACCTCTGACCAGTGCTGTTCAGAGACACTTAATTCTCCCCTTGAACCTGCAGGACAATCACTTCCTCATTTTCTGTCTCCATTTTAGGATGCTGGAAGAGGAAAAGGACAAAGAGCAGCGARTTTGTTCTGATGATGATGAGGATGAAGAAAAGGGAGGGAAGCGCGCTGCAGGTCCACGGAAGAARTTCCAGTGGAATGATGAAATCAGGTTTGAATAACTCAGATATTAAGCAAAGCCATGACTTGTCTTGCTCTTTGCAGTTGGCAGTGGAGCGTTTTGGTGTCTGTGTCTTGTTTCCAGAGCAGTGCTGATCACCTGTAGGAACAATCGGCTCAAAGGTTCATGGCACGCGGTGCAGTTTATGGAAGCCACTGCTGCATTTATTRCATCTCACCCTGGAGCTGATTTCAGGCACAGGACAAGTCTGAGAGAAATGCTAAGAAGCCTCTGTGCAAAATCCAAAAGAGAGAGTCAGATCTTTGGGARCAGAAAGAATTCAGCTGAATTGCTGACATCCTACAGCCAAGACTCTTAACATGCCCAGGTTCTGGAAGCAGTTGAAGTTGTCGGGTTTTGCTTCCCCTGGCACTTGGGGGGCTGACAGAGAAGGGAGTGCTGAAAACAGAGGAGAGTGATAGAGGCTAAAAGGAGAATCAGTCCTGCTGTCTTCATCTTATTCTGGAACAAACTGAGGTGCTGCTGATTGGTTTAGGATACAGCCAGGTTTGCTCACCTTCTCCTTGCTGAGAGGTTCAGTTCTGTGGTTGTTACCGGTGCCTCTGGCTCTGGCACTGGTTTGTTACCTCAGCTGTTTCAGGAGATTGCACTGGGAAAGGGTAACAAGGCTTTTCTGCCCCGTGCATCCATGTGTGTGTGTGGGAAAAGTCAGGAATGTGCCTTTCCCTTCCCTTTTGTCRGGAAGGCAGTGCAGGGTTTCATTGCAAGAGCCAGGAGTGTCTCTGTGTATTTATCCAGCCTGGATAAAGAGAATGGTCTCCAAGTGGGGAAGGTCAATCTGCGTAACTGTATCTGAAATCTTCCTGTTCCTCAGGGAGCTGCTTTGCCACTTGGTGAAGATTAAGGTGGATGGTTATGACCTTGACAAGAATAAGGCTCAGTCTCTAGAGGATTATATGAAGACCTTCCTAGAAGGAGAGGTGAAGCCCCTTTGGCCAAAAGGCTGGATGCAGGCCAGGTGAGCAAGAATCAAAGGATTCCTTGTCCTGAGGGACYTGGGAAGGTCTTAGTGCTGCCCTTGCTCAGGGAGTGGCTGGCTTCAGAGTTAGATCAGAGTGCTCAGGGCCTTGGCTTATGGAGTTTTGGAAATTCCCAAGGACAGAGATTGCCACAGCGTCTCTAGGMTCCTGTTCTGGTACTGATCACTCTTCATGAAATCTTCTCTCCTTATTTCCAATCACAATTCCCCTTGCTGCGCTGAACTGAATATTCCCTCCTTTTGCTTTTTACTGTGCACCTTTGAGATAGATCTGACTCCATCTTCTTCATGTCTCCCTGTCCCCACCACTCTTTAGGTAGTGGAAAACTGCCATCAGATTCCTCCTGGGGCTTCTCCTTTTCCAGGCTAAGCAAGCCCAGTTTCCTCCACCTCTCCTTGGCTGTCCCTGTTCCTCAGGATGTCTCCAGTTTGTCAGCATCTCTTGTATTGTGGGGACCCTGCACCTGGATCTGTGTCCTGATGTKCCCTCCCAGGTGGTGATCAGGGGATAGTTTGCTCTCAGCAGGACCCCTTTGCAGGACTGGCTCCCCTTCAGCTTGCCCCCCAGGACCCCCAGGCCCTTTCCTGCAAGGCTGCTGCCTGGGGTTGTTCCATCCCACTGCAGGACTTGGTGCTGGGCTTCGCTGAGCTTCACAAGGGTTGTGTTGGTCCCTTCCTCCAGCCTGGGAAGGGCCCCATGAATGAATGGCAGCCCTGCCCTGCAGCATATTCTGTCCCCTCCCTCTGTCCCTTTCCACCTCACAGATGTCCTGAGTGCAGTCAGGGCTGTGAATGCCAGTGCTGGGTGGTCTTGGCYCTGTGTTGATCTCTGACAGGTGCCACTGGCAGGTGGAGCTGGCATCAAGCTCAGGCCCAGGGGCCAGTCTGCTTTCTTGGCTCTGTATTACAAAGGATCACTTTGTAATCACAAAGGATACATTTTTCAGACATTTTGGGAAATCTTCTCTGGAGTATTCCCAAAAGAAGGCAAAGCAGAAAAGTTTTAGGGGCTTATTAGAGTCAGTAGGAATTTGGTGTGGTTTCTGTACCCTCACTGCTGTTYCCTGCTCTTTCCTACCCTCCATCATCCCTGTCCTTGAGCTGGCAGAGGCAGAGTGACACACAAATGGCAGAGACCTTTGCTGGGACTGTCATCACCTTCTGGCATGCTTTGCTTTGCTCAGTCCTTTTAAAGAAGGGACAACTCTACAGTCTTACTCCTGGAATCTTTAAGGTTCCTCCAGGCCAAGCTGTTCCATGATCTGTCTCTTTGCATTTCACAAGCTGGGCAGTGCTGTCTCCTCTCTGCTGAATTTGCTTTTGGGAGGTCAGAAGGGCTGGAGGAAGCTGTAAGTACCAGTTCCTAAGAGCAGTAAGTGTGAATAACACATCACAGATCCACTTRGAACAGTCCAAGGCTCTTTGTGCAGTTGCATGTGCACAGAAAGCTGAGCATGGTTGTGGTGTGGTGCTGCAGGAGCTGASAGGTGGCATGAGGAGCTGCGGGAAGATTCCTACTTAGTTAATGAAGATATGTTTGAAGGTCTTACCTTGCCAAGTTTTAAAAACTTTTCTTTGAATAAAAGGGAATTAAAATCTTTAACTCTGAGTTTGGAGGGGAAACTGTTGGTCATTCAGGTGCTCCCCCAAGACCCAGTGTAGGAGGCCCTTCCAGTAGAATTAAATACAGAATGATACAATAAAAGTGGGCTTCCTGGTTGCTTTCCAGTGGCTCAAGGACAATGGTTTGTCCTGCTGGGACCTAGAGTTGTACTTGATCTTTCTGGATCCCATCCAACTTGAGATATTCTCTGACTTGGTGGTTTAAAGACAGAGGGTAGAGTGACACCCATGGGGAGGGTTTGGTGGTTCTAGGAAAGCTGGAACAATTTTATGGCTAAGTCAGCTTGATTCACTGTCATCATGGTCTCAGAAGTTCATCTGTAAGAGGAACCTGAAGGTGGGCAGAGCAGCAGTTCTGTGTATGAGTTCAGAGAGGCCCTGCCAGGAGTCTGTTTCCTCCATTAACACTGAGAGATGATTACCACAATGTTAGCTTAACAAAAGCTTGCTTTTTAAAAGAAAAGGACGACAAAATGCTGTTAATAGCAGCCAGGAATCACATTCCACGTGCCAGTACTGAAGGAATATTTATAACTCCTCCCCTGATGTGTAAGAAGGCAGCTGAGTGGCAGCTGGTGTGGGTCAGAGGGTGTTTGTGGGAGATTCTGGCTTACCCTCGGTAGTGCAGGGCTTTGGATGAAGCTGTGCTCAGTCAGTCCTTGCAGAAAGGGTTGTGATGTRCAAAGTCACCTCAGCTCTTGGCTGGGGCCACAGAGGTGACACAGACCCTTCTCTCCCTCATTGCTGTGTCAGAGGCATGGSAAGGGAGCCTCTCTCCCTGGAAGTTGAAGAGCTCTTGGATATCTGTGGCAGTAGCAATGCCCTGAGTGATGGTCCTGCCTCTCCTGTTGGCTTTCTAAGATGACAGAGCTCTTTCCTGTGGTATTGTCAACCATTGCCTTAAATGGCCTTTCCAGTGCCTWCAAGCACTGCTCCCCAGAGAGAATTTGTGGGGCAGCTCAGGAGGATCTCCCTGGAAAAGGGCTGAACATTTATTTGCTCTCTGTGGTTTCAATTTGACTGAGTCCCCTGCTGTACTGTGCAGCTCTGTCTCCAGTGATCCCAGCTGCTCTACTGGGTCTTGCTGGACATCACTTCTCATTGCTCTCTTCCCTTCTTAGGACACTGTTTAAGGAGAGCAGGCGTGTACATGGACACCTCACATCAGTCCTGTGAGTATCACAGCATTGCTTTGGAGTGAACACTGGTGATCTCCATTTTCTGGGGCCTGGGGGGGTCATGCAGCAGCACTTGAGCTTGCCTGGCTCCCCCCTCACACATCTGTGCTGCTTCCTTCGGGGAGGTCTAGGGAGAGCAGGTGTTTGTGGGACATCTCCCAACCCTTTTCTGAGGTGCTTTAGCCTTCAGTGAGCTCTAAAATGAGAACTTTGAAGCCAGGTTGCCCCCTGGTTCAACAGGCTGGAGTAAGACCTCTGCGTTTTGCCTGGGAGAGTGAGTATTGCAGCCTGCTCCATCGGTCCTTACTGGATTCTGCATTCCCTCTTTCTTGCTGCCTGGTTCTAGAGGGACACAGTGACCTCAGATTAGTGAAGGTGGGTGCAACAGGCTGGTGACAAACCAGAGCCATCAGAATCCAGCTGGGCAGGGGCTTTAATGCAGAGGGTCTCATGGATCTTGCTGGTGGTTGATGATAGATGATGACACGGATTGAGGCTGATGTCTGTGTGGCAGACAGTCCTGTTCTTGGCACTGCAGGAGTGAGAGGAGGTGTGAAATAGGTACAGGGTCATCCTTCCCTCAGCCACACCATCCCAGCAGCTCAGGGCTGTCTTGTACCAGAGATTGTATCTGACCATTCCAAAAGATCTGTTCTCTGGGAATTTGGTGATGCTTTTGCCTCCTTGACTTCTTCTGGGAACCTAAAAGGAAGGTGTAACTTCTGCAGAACAGTGTCTGTTGCAATTTGTCTCTGGGTGTCGCTGCAGGAGGGCAGCAGTGGGGTCCTGCAGCCCTGCAGGGTGTGTGTGTGGGTGTTCCACTGCTCTGCTGCCATCCTAGGACTCTGCTCTGCTCCCTGATCCATCCCCTGTTGGGGAGCTGGGGCTTCCAAGAGCAGCAACCAAATGTCATGTGGTTTTGAATCCTAGCAACCTGAGATGCTGCCTCTGTTCCCTGCAAAGGCTCAGTGGATTGTCACTGGCAGGGCCCAGGTGTGCTCCCAACTGGATCCTTCCCTGGGGACATTCTCTGAGCCRTGCTTCTCTTGTCTCCCTCCAAACAGGGCGAAGAAGAAAGTTATTGCTCCTACTAAGGTGAAAGTGAAGGTGAGTTCTGTTTCCTGGTTCTCGTGGTTGTTGTATGGCAAAAGTCAAGTGACAGCCACCCTRAATGCTGTGTTTGAGCTTTGTGCCTCTACATCAGCTACTCTGAAGTGGCTCTGCTCAGTATTTGGCTTGAAAAAACAGCTGGAACAGCAGTTGGGTGGGAGGTGGGGCCTGACTGGCACAGAATATGTGTCCCCTGCCTGTTGCCCCCAAATTGTGAAACTTGCCAGCTGTAATCCCAGTTTCTCTTCTGACTGTGGCCTCTCCTGTGATGTCGTTTCAGGACTCTTCCTGCAAGCCCGACAAGAAGCTGTCGGTGTCTGTCCCTTCCCTGCACTCRAGCAGCACCTTGGCCATGTCTTCAGAGCCCCAGGGAGGAGCCCTGGGCATCAGTGSCCAAACCAGGGAACTCCTGTCCCTTGGGACAGCCCAAGCTGCCAGCAGCACTGCCACTCCTGCCACCTTCAAGGACGACTCCTTGGATGAGGACTTGATTCACAACCCCACCTCCTCCCTGGAAGCCGTGTCCAAGGAAYTGGCTGTGCTGAACAGCAGGGCGGGAGGGAGCCCTGACTTCACTCTTCCTGCAGCTCCAAAAGCTCCACCAGAGAAGATCCCAACTCTTGCATCCTCTGAGGAGAAGAGGACATTTCCAAAGCCCAACCCTTCCCCTGCATCWTCCTCTGGTTCCCTCCAGTCTCCTCTGAACTTCCTGGCTGAGCAGGCCCTGGCATTGGGCCAATCTTCACAAGACAAGAAGACAGAGAACTCTAATTACAAAGAGCATTCCTGCCAAGCCTCCCCCAGCAAAACCCTTCCTGATACCCACCAGKCTAAGCAGAAGCACCACAGCCTGGTCAGGCCGGGACACGGGCCCTCAGCCCCGGTGCCAGGCTCTCAGGTGAAGGTGTTCCACCCTGGTGCTCAGCTCCAGAAAACCTTCACCTCCCCAGCTCCCTTTGTCAAACTGCAGAATCCCAAGTCCTCMACCCCTCTGCCCCAGCGCTCCCTCCTCCAGCAGGTCAAGTCATCAACCAAAGCTCAGAGCTTCCATTCTTCCACGTCCCCAAGCAGCACCCAAAACTCCAGCAGCTCCCACAAGAGCCAGGGCTCATCCTCGTCATCTCTCAGCTACGCCGGGAAGCACTCGAGTGGCTCCGGCTCTTCAGGACAATCCTACAAATCGCCTTTCGTTGCTGGGTCCCTCTCCAAGCACGGGGCTTCTTCTGGCAGCTCCTCTGGAGCTTCTGCAAACCAGGGCAGCTCCTCTGGGAATTTGCTTCCCGGCATTGCAGCCTCTTCCTCGGGCTCGGCCTCCAGCCGCCCGGCCTCCGGCTCCTCCGTCAAGAAAACTCCCGTCTCSCAGAAGCTGACCCTGGTGGCACCTCCAGGGGGCTCCAACGGAGATTCCAGTGGGGGCACCCAGGGGGTGGCCAAGCTGCTGACCTCGTCCCTAAAGCCAGCTGTGGTCAGCAGCACCGCAGCCTCTACCTCTGTGCCGGTAAGGGGGCTATGCTGGCACAGCCTTGGGCAGCACTGCCCTAAAGGGGGCACTTCTAAAGCACTTTCTGCAATTCTTGAATGACTGTGTGGATTTGGGCTGCTTTAGGCTAGAATGTTGTGGCCTTTGTCCTTGGTTTGCACTCCAGAATTCCAGCTGTCATTTTCAGCTTAAAGTAGCAACTAAGCAGAATATTGTGGCACCCTGCRAAGTGCAGGTTTTGTGTCATGTTCCTGCCCTGGCTCTGCAAGTTATGAGCACAGTAGGGCGCCCATTTAGATTAAGAGAAAGTGCAGTAAGGTAATTTATCATAAGAGCTAAAATTCATTGCATAAATTAAAAGATTAATGATGAATTTATTGTTAATTAGATCTACAAACTTTGCCTTTTTTAAATTATTGCAAGTCATTTTAGTGTTACTGCCAGTTTTGTCATGACTGGCCCAAAGAATAATCTGTGGTCATAGAACCATGGAATCATTAAATTGGAAAAGTCCACTAGGATCATTAAGTCCAAGCACTGGCAAGGCCATCACTGACACATGTCCCCAAGTGCCACATCCATGGCTTTTAAATCCCTCCAGGGATGGTGACAGGGAGCTGTGCCAGGGCCTGACAATGCTTTCAATGAAGAAATTTTCCCAGTATGCCAACAAAACCTCCCCAGCACAACGTGAGTCTGTCAATACAGACTTGTGTTATTATAGTATTGTGTTACCTAATGGTATAAGGGGCTCAATTCTTATCTATAGTGAAATAGTGATAGTTCCTAATAATGTTGTGTTTATGTGTTGTTGGCTGCTCATCCCTGCCTTCCTTTGTGGCCCATGGAAAGAGCTGGGAAATTCAATAAGTATATTTAAATCAAACTGTACTGCTCAGCTGCTGTCTGTTACTGAGACAGAGAGCTGGGAATCACTCCCCAGTGGTGCCTGTCTCCATGGGAGAGATCCCAGATAACATCCCTGGGTGCCTTGGGTGCCAAATCTTGGTGCCTGGAGTTGTCAGCAGTGCCAAAAATGAGTAGGAATCATCCCCCCTGGAACTCACAGGTGGTGTGGAAACATTTCCTCTGCCTAATGCAGGCACAGCTCTGGAGCAAGGCAGTCATAGAGGCAAGTGCAGCATGGCCACATTCAAGGGCTGGATTGCCAGTGTCCATCTGCAGATGCCTCAAGCGCTGGTATCTCTTGGGCCCTGGCTGGGAGGGTGCTTTTCCCAAGGGGGAATTCTTGAGCATTCCATGTTTTGCAGATGTGTAARTATGATTGATGCTGTGCCGTGGTTTTCCCATCCTGACTGACCTTTTCCRTTGCTTTTCAGAAAGGAACTAGCGGAGCTGTGCTGCTAACAAGTTCTTCCTCCYTAAGTGTACTGGCTCCATCCTACAAGTCCAACAACCCAAAGCTGCCAGCTGCCCTGAGCTCCACCCCRTTAGGTATTATCTCTCCTATTCATTCATTCCCTCTCCATGTCATCTCCTTCAGTTCCGACTCCTCCCCAAAAGCAGGAGTGTCCAAGGATGCCATCGTCACAGGACCTGCTCCGGGGACTTTCCACCAYGGCCTGGGGCACAGTGAGTATCCTGCTGGTGTCCTGTGTGTGTCACTTGTGCCTGTGCTGTCCCATAGACCATCAGTGCTCTGCTGTGCTGTGCTGGCCCATTGCACACCAGCCCAACTCTCTGGCTGTTGCTTCATGCTGTGGTCCCTGCTTTTGTATCTCCAGCAGTTGCATCTGGAGAACCTTGGCCACATGCTTAGAGCTTGCCCAGAAGTGCCAATAGCTGGAACCCGAGCTCTGAGCTAACTGCTGCAGCTCCTCTGCTCGTTTCTGCCTTGAATGTGTATTTGTTCCTTTTTTCCCTCTCCTCTCTTTTTCTCTCTAGGTCTTCTGGCTGGTTTGCACTCCAGCCCCCACCATGCAGCGCCACTCCCACACTCTGCCCTGTCCACTCATTTACCACAGAGTTTGCCAGGTAACTTGTCAGACACTTGTGTTTGTCTTCTGCCTCGTGAATCTCCCTCTATCTCAGCAGATCCTTCCTTTAGGGCTGAAAACAGAGGGGCTGTCCATGTTTTCCAGCTGGTGTGGATGGCACTGAAGTCTCTCTGAGAGTGAGGGGCTGGGAGCAGCTTGGTCTGGTGGAAGGTGTTCCTTGCCCATGGCAGGGGTGGAAGGAGATGAGTTTTAAGGTCCCTTCCAACCCAAACTRTTCCATGATCAGGAAGAAATTACTGACTGTGAGGTTGGGGAGGCCCTGGCACARKGTGYCCAGAGAAGCTGTGGCTGCCCCTGGAAGTGTCCAAGGCCAAGCTGGATGGGGCTTGGAGCACCCTGGGACARTGGAAGGTGTCCCTGCCCATGGAATGAGTGAGCTTTAAGGTCCCTTCTGATCAAACCATTCTGTGATTCCTGGAAGCACAGGTGACCCCTCAGTGCTTACAGCAGGTGTTGGTTCCTGGAGATACTCAGAATTATCCTGCCAGGATGAAAGCTGTGCCTGTTTGTGCACAGCCTTCTAGGACTGCCCTGGAATGGATATTCCAGCTCTGTGGAGTKTTGTTCCTGGTGACCTACATAAAATGTGTCAGACCAGACTGTCTTGTGTCTGTGCACTGACTTAATTGCCAGCATCTCCTTCACGACAAGTTTGGAGAGTAAATGCAGATTGCTCCACTTGCTGCTCACAACGTGAGGATTTGGCAGTTGAGCCTGTTCCTACCCCAGTTTGATGCCTGCAGAAGTGATGCATAAAACAAGAGTTTTCCAAAGAAGGAGGCAAGTAAGGAAAATTGAAATTCAGTGCCAGCAGATTGGGCTTACCTGCATCAGGGAGCTGCTTATTCCTCTGGTGACTCCTATTTCTGCTTTCTCAGATATGTTCTTTTGCACTTCAGGGCAGTTGAGTGCCACTGCCTTAGTACCTGCCCCTGTTGGGATGGTGGTCTTCCTGAGCCATATGAGCCCAATTTAGGAGTGCTAGCCTGATCCTGTGGCTCTTTGCATGGATAACCATGTGACCTTCTGGAGCAGTCATGGAATAAATGCCTCTGACTGCTGAGCATGGTGTTTTGTTTGCTGAAGAAAACAGAGTGCGTTGTGCACTCATGAAAATGCAATGAATTGGTTGTCTTTGCTTCTCCTGCTGAAGTTTGAGGTGGGTTGTGCCACTTGAGTGTGGTGGAGCCATCACTGGTGTGACAGACCCTTCCTGTTTGTAAATCACACTTCCTGGAGAGAGAGATGAGGGATTGCACTTTGAACATGGATTGTGGAACAGATTCTGTGTCACTGAGGAGCAGCTCTTTGTCCCTTTAGTTGAGGAATTCAAAGTGGGTTCCTCACTGGGTTATAACAGGGCTTATAACAGAACCATTTTTTGATGGACTCTTCAGCAGGATGTAGTGCCAGAAGATAAAAGATCCCTGGCAATAAGTGAAGGAAAATTGCCTGTGGATACAGCTTCAGCAAGGACCTGCTTTCCCCACAGTGTTTTTACTTAAAGATTGGAGATGGAGCCTAGAGCTGCCATCTCCTGGAACATTCCCAACTTTGGCATTTCCTAGAACACAGTAGATGTTTAAGTGACCCCTCTAACCTTAAGATGAAGGGATGTGTTTTGTGGCACAAGCTGTGCCAACATCTGGCCACAGCTGCACTGCAGTGCCCAAATGCTGCGAGGCGTGCGGGAGGTCGCTGCAAACGCCAAGGGAATGTTGATGCCTTAAATAAAAGTGCTTTTATGTCCATATTCATCCAAAAGCCTCCAAGCAAGGAGCATCCAGTGCATGCTGGTGTGTGCTTAGTGCTGCTGCTGGCGCTGGGAATGTAGAAATGGGATGTGCTGGGCTGAGTTCTTGCATGGAACGAGYTGTTCTTGGCTGGGAGGAGAAGCTGCTGCTGCACTGCTCGGTGCCACTGCTGCTTAGCTGCCCATCTCAGTGCTCCCATTTGTTCATCGTGGTCTGAAGTAGTTTTAATTGCTCCTGGAAAACTKTTGCTTCCTTAAACTTCCTTCCTTTTTCTTCTTCAGTGCATTTTCTCTTTTCCTCCGCATCCATTTCTTTCTGTTCCATCAGTGGTGATACTCCTGTAGTTCCTGTGGCTGTCAGTGGGCACCTAAAGCTTTAATTTCAAAAGCACCTAATTGAAGAATCATTAATAAAGCTCCTAAAGCCCTACCTGAAAGGGGTTTGTTGGTGAGGGGTTGGCCTCTTCTCCCACACAACCAGTGACAGGACAAGASAAAACAGCCTCAAGCTGTGCCAGGGGAGGGTCAGGTTGGACATCAGGAAGAATTTTTTCCCATAAAGGGTGGTCTGGCTTTGGCAGGGGCTGCCCAGGGAGGTTTGCAGTCCCCATCCCTGGAGGTGTCCAAGGAAGGCCTGGTCGTGGCACTCAGTGCTCTGGGGTGGTGACAAGGTAGGGATCAGTCACAGGTTGGGCTTGGAGGTATTTTCCAGCCTCAAGGATTTGGGAATTCTGGGATTCTGTGATTACAGCAGCAAAAATGTATTTGCAGGTTCCTTCCAACCASCTGTAGTTCCAAGGCAGCCATAGCAAGTTTCTCTGGATTCTTGGATGGGGGATGTGGCAGGGTGGGTTTAGAGAGGGGCACAGGCTAAGGAGCCCACTGGCACTTGGGGCTTGTACTCAGACCCCTCAAAAGACCCCAGTGCTTCCCCTGTCCCTTCCTCAGAAGCAGGGCTGCTCCTGGTGGGCAGATGTCTCCAAGCACATCCTCTCCTTCCTCATTCCTTGGTGCTGGGAAGGCAAAGCAGGTCTTTCCCTCTGTGCAGAGGCCTGGCTGGCCCAGCTGCCCGCAGCTCCGTGGGGCTGCTGCCACACCCCCTTCCCAGCTGGTTTTATTTTCTTSCAGATGCTTCTCAGCTTCACGGCAAAGGGTCCAATGCACAGCAGCGCAAGTTGTGACGCCTGTGAGGAGGGGAGAGACAGCACCTATAGGATAAAACCCAGAGGAGCAGCTCATGGACTTTGGATACCAGCTGTGTCTTTTGATTGCTTTCGATTTTTTGTCTTCTGTTTCTTTTTTTTTTACAACAACTGGAGAGACTGAACTGCACCGAGGAGCTCATTGGGGTGTCTGCTCAGAAGTTTTCAGAGCTGAGCCCCAGCCACCGGGCCACCTTGAGCCATGCCCTGATGAGAGAGAGAAGCCTTCTGTAGCACTGTTTTATTGCTGCTGCCCTTCCTGCATTCCCTGGCACTGGCTGGAACTTGCAGGGACACTCGGGTGCTCCTGTGCTTKATTTCCACCCGTGTCCGTAGCTGCCAAGTACCTCCAAGTCCAGTTACCTCCCTGGTCTCGCCGTGGAGGGTGTGAAAGGTGCTTCTTTCTTCTGCTTTGGATTTACCTGGATCATTCTAGCACTGCCAGTGCTTTCTTGAAGACATTTGAGTAACTTTCCAATTGTACTATGAAAGTGTGCTACACTCAATTGGAGGGTTGAACATTTGCTGTGTGGTGAGTGTGAGGAAACACCTGATGTTCCCCTCTGGAGGAGAAGGAAGACTCTTTAGAGTCTTTAGAAGAGAGACATTTTTAGATGCAGTCATTGACTTTTAGAATTCTACTTCTTTTGGGTTTTTGGATTTTTTTTCCCTCCAAAGGGATGCTTTTTTCCTGCTCAGTTTTATCCTCATTGCCATCGAAYGCATTGGATTGAATGGGACACTTCTTGGCATGTCACATGGATCGGGAGACATAATTCCAGTGCCTTTTATGGTGGAGCAAGAATGGACTAGTGACACACATTTCAGCCCTATTTTGTGTGCTCCTCAACCCTTTTTTAATCATTCTGTATTTAAAATGTGTTCTGGTTTATTTAATAGAGCTTTCTATGGTTGCACATAAAAAAAAACAAAACAAAAACAAAAGAGAAAGAAAAGCTGCACTGTCTGGACTTTAGTGGTGACCCGGTGACTGACTACAGTCCCAAATCCAGCAGGAGCACCAGTTCTCATCCCAGTATGTGCAGGTGGGTTCCAGGCCCTCCCTTAAAGCCATTCTTTCCTAGGGTTGTGAGTGAGGATCCATTTGGTGGGCAGAGAGAATGAGTGAGATGAACCAAGGTCACTCCTGTCAAAGGAATTCCAGAGAAAACCACTGCTCTCCTCAAACATCCTGCACCAGGGTCGTGTGCTTGGCACAGCTGCAGGAACAGGGACCATCTACACCTGGGGGTGTGTTTTCTTGTTCATTTTTTAACTTCTGCACTTAAATGCTCCCCCTGAGCACCCCCTTTCAGGCTCAGGGCAGGCTGAGGTTCTACCTGAGCTTTTTGAGGTTTTGGTTTCCTGCTCTTCCCCAGTCTGTCTTCTCTCAGGCCCCCACAGCCACATCCCAGTTGTGCAGGGGTAGTGCTGGTCCACGTAGAATTTACTGATATTCTGAGGAAAAGCTTTTGGCTTCCTCCTCGAGCTTTGGGGAAGGCTGCTGACCCCAGAATATTAACAAATGCCTGCTTTAGTTTCCCCTRGTTTTTGTTGAGATCAAGAAAGTCTGTTTTCAGTTGGAGTTGATACATAACTGCCCAAGATCAATGAGTTGATTGTATTTCAGAATAATGGAGACAGCTCAGATTTCAAGTGTGTTTACAGAAAATACYGAGGTTGTAGCAAAAGAGCCAAAGACAGAGCTGGTGTGGGTAAAACAAAGAGCAGCAGTTCCTGGTGGACTCTGAGCAGTGGATGTCCCGTCCAAGGCCTGAGGGGTGCTTGGCACCTTCCCCTGGAAGCTGGGGACACCTGGCAGGACAGGRGCTCTCAGTGAGTGACTCGAGGTACCACTTCTCCTCCCTCTCTTTGCTTTCACTCGAATGCTTCTGCTGGGAAGCCCCCGTGAGTGCGGCCGGAGCAGAATGCCCTCCTTCTAGGAATTTAGCGAAGCCTCTTGCCTCAGGGAAATGTTTATGTGGTGGGAATTCTGTGGGGTATTTTTCTTTACATGCTATAATGAATGAGTGAATGGTGTGGAGCAGAGTGGCAGCAAGGCAGGCCCACACAGAGCAGCTGAGGGGGAGCCAGGCTGGCATCTCTGCCTTGGCGAGGCAACTTGCAGCACTTCCAGGATGGAATGGGGAGGGAAGGCTCCCATGGCACTTACTTGGGGATGGCAGTTCCTTTTGGGTGTAAAAGCTGCAGTTTACTACTCTATTTTTTGATGTATGTTGGGACTGTCTTGCTGAAGATGGTGGGGGTGGTATGGAAACTGTTAATCTTGTACAGAACAACTGAATAAATTGTTTCAAACTTTCCAAAATGCTTTTTTTTYCCCCATCTCCTTGCTTCTAGTTCCCTGACTTTGTGTTCAAGAATTTGTATTGCAGCTTGGATGCTCATCTGTTTCTTGAGTGATTAAGGAATTACTGACTGTTTTAAAGTCTCCTGCGTGGTGAGTGACTGGCAGCTCTGTTGCAGGGGAATGTTTCCTCTCATTGCCTGTGCTCCTGCTGGTACCTCAAGTTGGCCTCTGTGGGGCTCAGACCCTGGAGCAGTGTGTGATCCTTCCTGCCTGATCCCTTCATTCATGAAGGTGAAATCCCCAGAGCCAGGAGGGATAAGCAGGGGATGCTCGTGGCTGCTTTTGTGGACATCCTGGGGTTGGGGTATGGGCTGAAATTTGGGTAAAGGGAAAAAATGGGCTCTGGTACCATTCCAGTGCAATGCATGGTTCTCCTGCAGCTGCAGTCCCATTCTTTAGTGCACTTCACTCCCATCTAATGCTGATAATAAATCCCAGCTCCRTTGTTTCTCAATTCCCTGGAAAAGAGCCAGCAACTAAAATGAATAATCTCAGTGTTTTAATTCTGACTCCAAAACAGCAACTTCTTGTGTAGCCAAAGGTCAAGGGGCTGCTGTAATTAATGAAGACTGACCACCTTCTGATTGGAACCACTGCATTTTTATTTTGTACTATAAATAGAATTCCCCTCTATTCCCCATTCCCTTACACAAGTAAATGAAACATGTAGCTGCACGGAACTTCATCTGGGAAAACACCAGCACAAACAGCTTTTAACCACGTGGGAAGGTGCTGTGTGTGGGAGGCCCTCTGTGCTGGGTTCCCTTGYATGCTGTGCACAGCCCCTTGTGTCAGGCAGTTCTGCCATCTCTTCCTGACCTCTTCCTTGACCTCCTGGTCAAGGTGGTGTGTGAATGCTCCTCCTGGATCTATGGCTGGTGCCATCCAAGTACATCCTGACTCTTCCCCAGCAGCACAGGCACGGAGGTGCAAAAATGGTGGTGGTGGGTGTTGACGTGGTGATCCTGGAYTGAAACCTTGGTTTCCACAGAGCTGGCTTTCTCAGAGGACGAGCCCATCATTGAGTCAGTTGTCCCCAGTGGGATTGTCTGGCTTGTCAACATTCAACTGATGTGCCCAGCTCCTGTTGGTCACCTYGCAGTCACCTGGACCTTCAGTCTCTCCTGACACGGTTTTGAACACAGCTACGCGAGCAGAAGTTGAGGAAACTGCATTTTCTACCTGGTCTTTGAACTTGAGGCACTTCATTGTCCTAAGGCTTTTTCTTGTTTTCTGGCAGGCAGGGAGGAAGAGGGGGAGAAGGTTTGGCTGTAGTTCTGGCAGATGTTTTCCACTACCRGTGGTGTTTTCTGCAGTGGGTGACAGCAAGCGGTGCAGCACGGCCGGGACAGAGGYTGTAGCGGTTTGGGAGACGCGAAGGATGGCGAGGCTTTGCAGTGATCTGGGTGTCTACAAGGTGCTGCAGCTCCAGCTGGCTGCTCTTTCMGTGAAGTTTCTACAGTGGAGCGAGCGCTGTGTAATTGCTTCCGGACACCAGGACCGCCAGCTCCTGGATGGACATCTCCTTGTTGAGGTAACTGTCGTACTGGGCCATGGTGAGCCTCCCGCTCTTCAGCGCATCCTCGATGGAGAACTCCCTGCCAGACTTCCTGTCCAGGATCACAGACGATTCCCCATTGGGACCCTTTATTGAGATCTCCTCCCAGTCACATTCCTGGCTTTTCAGTTTGACAAACAGGCTCCATTCAATGAGGCCGAACACATGAGCTTCCTCTGGAGACATCTCTTTCCCCGTGTCGGGGTCAATGACCACGATGGAGCGCCTCAGGTGGTTCTCTCTTTGCTCCCTCTTGATAGCYACTGTCTTCAGGCGATTCTGCAGTTGCTCAATCTCTGCATCTTTTTCTCTGGATAACTGCTTCAGATCCTCTAACTCTCTTTCCAAAGCTTGGAACCTGGAGTCCAGGTTTATTCCACTGTCCACGTGGGTCATGTTTCTCAGATCCTGAGCTTCCGTTGCGGTGAGTTCAATCTCTGACTGCAGCCTCCTTGTTTCCATCAGCAGGTTCTGCTTCTCAAGGTGTAGTTTGTGGTTTTCCTCCCTTAACAAGTCAAGCTCCTTCGAYGACTTGGAATTGTTGAACTCCACCTCAGACAGCCTGGTCTCCAGGCGGTTGATATCTGCATCCAGCTCCCTCTTGCGCCTACTTTCTTCCTCCAGGTTGCTCTTCAGCTTTTGAATTTCGTACTCCGTGTCTCCTTTGTCCACTTGGACRCTCTCTGAAAACACCACTTTCTCCTTGACCTCCATCTTCTCCAAAGAAAGGAGCTTCTTTCTCAGAGCTTCTAGCTCGGTTTGCAGGACTTGCCTGCGGTGCTTCTCTTCTTCTAACTCCAGCTTGAGGAGGGAGTGCTCCTTCTCCTGCTGGGGATCTTGCTGAAGGATCACTTTCTGTTTCACAGTCACTCGTTCTGTCGTTTCTCGTTCCTGTTCTTCCAGCTCTCTCAGCCGGATCCTGAGCCTCTGCACCTCCAGCTCAGCCTCCCTGCGGGCCTGCCTCTCCTTCTCCAGCTCCTCGAGCTGCCGCTCCAGCTCKGAGCGTCTCCTCTGCAGCTTGCGCAGCTCCTCGCGGAGCCCGTCGATCTGCTTCAGCTCGCTCTCAATGCTCTGCGAGAAGGAGTTCACCTCAGCTTTCAAGGCAGGATCCTGCTCATACTTCACTACTTCCTGTTGGACCACCTTTTCCTTCACCTGGGAAAGTTCTTCCTCTTTCTGTCTTACTTTTTCTTCTTGGAGAAGGCGCTCCCTCTCCAGGTCAATGTGCTTCATTTGTTCGTCTGCCAGCTGCACTCGCAGCGATTCCACCTCCTCTCGAGTCTTGGGGTCTTCCCGGAACTGCAGGATTTCTTGCACAACCTCCTTCATTTGTACTTGAGGTTTGGTTTCTTTCAAAGCCTGGATCTCTTGTTTGAGCTGGTAGATCTCCAGGTCAGCTCTTTCGATGGCTCCAGTCCTCTCTATGATTTCCTCCCGGAGTCGCTGCAGCTCCTTTTCGGTTTCTGGATCATTCTTGTACTTAATGACCTCCTTAATGACTTCTTTGACTTCGACCAGGGGCCCTCTGTTCTTCAGAGCAGCCAGCTCGTTCTGGCAGCTCTTCAGCTGCTCATCCCCACCGCGGTACCTCCTCTCCTGCTCCACCAGCTCCAGGCGGAGGTTGGCAACTTCATTCTCGGCCTTGGGGTCTGGGCGCACGATCTCACGCACTTTCTCCTGAACCACCACCTTGGAGTTCTCCTCCTCCAGCAGCTGGATCTTCCTRAGCAGCTCAGCCTTCTCCCGCTCGTTGGAGCGGCCCTTGGACTTCTCATCCTCGTACTGGCGCCGCAGCTCGTTCACCTCCCTCTCGATGACCAAGTCTTTCTCCACCTTCAGCACCTCCTTGACGGTGATCTTGCCCTCGGCGATGGCCCGTTCCTTCTCCAGGCGCTTGAGCTTGTCCTGGAGGAAGCTGAGCTCTTCCTCRTGCTTCTGCCGAAGGGCGCTCTCCCTCTCCTTGGTCTCCTGCAACATCCGGAATTCCATCTCCAGCTGGGGGTCATTCTGCAGCTTCAGCACCTCCTTCTCAGTGACCTTCTCCTGCTCTTTGTTCTTCTCGCTGGACAGCACAGCAATCTGCTGCCGTAAGAGGATCACTTCGCTCTCCCTGGTCCCTTCCTGCCTCCTGAGCTCGTCCAGCTCCTCCTTGAGCCTCAGGATTTCATCGGCTTGAGCCTTGTCTTGTTCAATCCTCAGCACCTCCTTCACTATGTACTCCTGCCCTCCTTCCCTCTTCTCGTGCTCCAGGACACGCAGACGGATTTTCAGAGCCTCCAGCTCGTCCTGGAGCACCTGGTTCTTGCGCTGCTCCTCGGCCAGGTTTTGCTGCAGTCTGTGGAAGCTCTCCTCCAGCTGGGGGTCAGGCACCTTCTTCACCAGCTCTTTCTTCACCACAGTTTCTTGGGGTTTCTGGTTTTGCAGGTGGACAATGTTGTTCTGGATGGCTTTGATCTCCGCTTCCAGCTGTTGCCGGCGCTGAGTCTCATCCTCAAGCTCTTTCTTCAGCTTCCAGACCTCCTCTACAGGCCTGACGGATTTTTTGCTCTGGGCAAATTCTTGTGTCACCTGCATCTCTGGCTGCTGTTGTTGGGAAAAGGATCAAAGAGATTTAGCCACAAAAATCCAGTTAATCACACTTCTAGTACTTACCATCATAGAGTAACAGAATCATTCAGGTTGGAAAAGACCTCCAAGATCATCAAATCCAGCGTGTGACTGATCCACACCCTGTCACCCACGCCAGAGCACTGAGTGCCACATCCAGTCCTTCCTTGGACACCTCCAGGGATGGTGGAACACCTCCAACTTCTCCCTGGGCAGCCCCTGCCAAGGCCTGACCACCCTTTCCATGGGGAAATTCCTCCTGATGTCCCCCCTACCCCTCTCCTGGCCCAGCCTGAGGCCGTTCCCTCTCCTCCTGTCCCTGTTCCCTGGAGCAGAGCCCGACCCCCCCGGCTGCCCCCTCCTGTCAGGGAGTTGTTCAGAGCCACAGGGTCCCCCAGAGCCTCCTTTGCTCCAGGCTGAGCCCCTTTCCCAGCTCCCTCAGCCACTCCTGGGGCTCCAGCCCCTTCCCCAGCTCTACTCCCTGCCCTGAAAATGCTCCAGACCCTCGGTGAGGGACTAGAACTGAACACAGCACTGGAGATGACCTGAGCAGTGCCAGGTACAGGGGGACAATCCCTGCCCTGGTCCTGCTGGCCACACCATTCCTGAGCCAGRCCAGGATATCRGTGCCTCCAACAAAACAAYGGGAGGGARCTGAGCAACAGCAGACTCTGAGCTGGGGGTATTTACAAACAGACTTCTCTGTGGGTTCCCAGCCTGAGAAACCATTTCTGCAATGCCTGCTGCTGTCAGATCAAAGCTTCSAGCCACAGGGGACACTAATTCTGCCACA